TTCAAATATCGTTCAATGTAAAATATTCTTTATTTTATTGTATAGGTTTGGAGTGCAATAAATTACTATTCAAAGCTAAATTCTATTGTTTTTTGTTATTTATTATTTTGTAAAAATGATAAATGCGCACGTTAATATACTTTAAAATATTACCCAAGATGTGCTTTTTAATGACTTCGAGTCAAAATCTAGGCTAGGCACTCGAAAATGTTAATCCGTGGCTCCACCTTTGTGCTAAGGCACGAGCCGCTACTGATATATAGTGCAATCTGTACCCTTGTTGCAAGGCATAGAATAAGTACCATAAAAAATGCACTGTATTTTAAAAACGTTACTATTTATAGCACTAAAGTTAAACCGAAAATCTGGAAATCAACATGGTTCTTAGAAAAAATTATCAAAGAAAATCAAAACTGCAAATCGATCAAAAACGTGGAGAAGTGTTAAAAAGTGGGGATAAGAAAATCTTTTGTTGGCACGAATATAATACTAAGACCCCATGAGCCTTAGTAAATAGTACAAGTTACATTTCTATTGTGTGTATGTTTTTTTGTGTAATTCTTTATTGTTTTATCCCAAAACGCGAATAAACGATTATTCAAATTGTTGCTTGCGAAATTGATCCCATTATCATTATTATATTTAAATCCATTTCTTTAATTTTCCATTAACTTAATTATTTTTTCAAACTACACAATTTCATCAACTTCACTATTTTTTATTATTTATTAATCTATTAACTTTATCAACCTACCCTCCAAATAGTTGTGAGAAAATATCAAAATAGGTGCTGAAAAAATAAAATTATACAATAAATACAGGGTGTCCCAAAATTAGACAGTCATATTTTAACAGTTTAATTTATATTTTAAAATAAGAGAAAAAGTTCATATAAACATAGGTCCGAAAACGTATCGTCTCCGAGATACAGGGTGTTTAAAGTGAAGTCCTGATGACATATTTTAGGACGCACAATTTTCAAGAGAAAAGCATTTGAAAATTTTATGATAAGTTCATATTATCTTATTCGAAAGTGCAAACAATAATTGGTAGGCCTGTGGAATCAAAAATTTTATTTATTTTCAGCTTTGGAAAACCGATGAGTAAAGAAATTTATTTAGTTTTAATTCATTTTTAAATGTTTATTTAATAAAGAAACTTGTTTTTTCCAAATGGTTTGGTTGGCTTTGGTCCAATAAAACGATTGATGAGAAGTTATTTCGTAAACTGTAGACGCTTAAACTAATTTTATCATAAGTTCCCCCCTCTAATTTACCCACGTATGAAGATGATCAAAAACTGGTGTTTAGTCCATTAAATATAGCGTAAAAAGTGTACCAAATTTCACTTAGTTATCTTTAAACATTTAGAAAATATTTACAAAAATGTGTCGTTTAACACCCCGTATCTCGAAAACGAAACGTTTTCGGACCTATGTTTATATGAACTTTTACTCCTATTTTATTTAGCATGTAGATTACGCTGTTAAAATATGACCATCTAATTTCGGAACACCTTGTATAATTATTCTTTCGACTCCTCTCTACTAACATATTTACCCTTTATTCGCGATTCAAACTAAGAGATACGCCCTCTGGAGGAAATTTGTAGAAGGTCCCTCTAAGTAGGATATCATTCAGTGTTACCAGAAGTAGCAAAATTTCGCTGCGTCGTCGGATTTTAGCTCTTGAAGAAGCCTTTTATTTAAGAATCAAAATTTTTGTCTAGTAATATGTAATCATATTTTATATGTATTTAAGGATTTTTTTATAGAACCGATTTATTATATTGATTTTTTTTAAATTTCAGTTCATTTATTAATTTTGTTATAAAATCAGTTCATCATTTGGCAACATTGGCGTTCGTGTTCATTGTTTACATTTCAATTTGTATCAATTACAATTCCAGTTTTTTCTTACCTTTTAGATTTAAATTTGTTTATTTCTTATAGTATGTGATAGTGTTTATATTAAAAACTGAATCTGCGAAAAATCCCCCAGCAAATTGCAATCTATATGGTATTAATGTCAAAATCAAAACTAAAGTATTCATTATTTACCAAGTGCAAGTCGTAAAATTTTGTTTCTTATGATAAATGGATATCTACAAATTCACAATATTGAAATTTTGCAAAACTTTGTTTAGAATCAAACTGTAATCTGATTTGTGACGGTTTTATTACCATTTACATGTATACAAAGTACTACACAAATCACTTCTTAATATAAGAATAAGGATACTAAGATTTTTTAATAAGTTCATCAATAATAAACGTATTGTACCTGAAATGTTCTTTAAACCACATAATAAAACATGTCCTGGGTTTAGTAAATACATATTTCTAGATGTTGATGTAGCAACCAATAGGTGAATATTTCCAACAAATTAAGTCATTCACATGATAAATATTAAATTTATGACGAAAGCACGAGAAATAAACTTAAATTAACACTAAATGAAATCAAAAACACTATTACAATGAGAATATTATATAAAAACAGGTAAAAATCACAAATACAAAATCCGCCCAAAACAAACACATCCTACTTATAGGTGACAAATGACAGGCACGCGAAAATGAATTTGAATCGCGAATAGGATACTGGTCGATATTTCAAACACAGATAATTTTTACATTAAGCCGCGCTCTATGGTTTAATATTCGTCCATTTATTTGTTCCCGCGTATTTAGCTCACAACAGATTGAAATATCGTCCAGTATCCGCTACAAACAAAGGGCAATAATACTCATTTTCGACACAGTCCTGAAAAGTAGTTCTGTTTTTGTCGTCAATATTGAAAAAAAAAAAAGTGAGGGTAAGTTGTAATTTGTACAATAAATAGCATAGATTTTGATAAACTAAAACGAATGTTTGTATGTTTTATCGGCAAGATAATATTTCATGTTGTTCCGGCCTAACCTCAAAATTTAGAAAATTCTTAGTTCGATTTATCGCACTGTAGGTTTGATAAACAAAATAAACAAGTGTTTCTCGTTATATGCGCCGGAACAAAATCTGTATAATATTTTTGATCATTTTACCTATTTTGAAATTCATAAATTAATAAATCCGAAAAACAGCAAAAAATTGATTAAGCGCGTCATTGGGCTTTCTCTTACCCATCTTATACATTGAGTTGGAAGTGAGATAGAAGTACTTCTCTCTAAAACTACACGCACGTAGGAAGCATGCTGTTATAATAATAATAATAATAATAATAATAAACGTCTTTATTCAAAAAATAAATATTAAAATGTATACAAATAATAACATCAAATGTAATTAAGCGGAACCCGTAGTGGCGAAGTCTAGCTAAAGCTACTCCTAATTAACCACACAGGATCCGTAATTAAGGTAAAAAAAAAATAATTGGACAATGACAATCGAGAAAAAAAAACATTGTAAATTACCTTTGTTTAAAAATAATATTATGTACTATATTCCTCCCCTCAACGCACGGATATATTACAAGCTATTCTTTGTGTATCAAGAAGGTGACACTTAAACTTATATTTAAACTTATTAATGTTAAATAATTTAAATTCTTCTGGTAAAGAATTGTAGATTTTTATAGCATTGTATGTGAAGGATTTCTGAAACATAACTGTCCGATGCTTAGGCATAGCAAATTTATGTTTAAATCTCGTGTTTCTGTCATGTATACGGTAGTGGGGAATTAATTTACTTTTAATACGAGAAGTTGTAGATGAAACCAGTATTTTATGAATAAAGGTACCTAGATGATGTATAAACCGATTGTTCATATTAAGCCAGTTGCATTCATTAATTTTATGCGAAATGTGATGACGCCTGCCAATTGAAAATATTAATCTGCAACATGAATTTTGCAGAACTTGAATCCTATGTTTTTCTCGTTTTAGCAAACATGGCCAATAACAAAAATCACAATAAGTAAAATTACTAAGTACTAGGGATTTACAAAGTAAAATTTTTAATTTGATACTGAGAAAATGACGATTAGAATACAATAATTTTAACGACGTATAGGATTTTTTCATTAGACTTTTTATATGTTCACAAAATCTCAGTTCACCATCTAAAATAATACCCAAATCACGTGTATTCTACCAAAAAATATTAATTTAGATTTGCTTGAGTTTAAATTTAAGTCATGTTGCTTTGAAGATTCGGAAATATTTAAAAGTTCAAAGTTGATTATTGCAGCCGTCTGATTTAAGTTTTTAATGTCAAAGTGTTTATAAAGTTGTGTATCATCAGCATATGCCTGTATAGAACATTTTTTAATAGAATTAATAATATCAGCTGTATAAATAATGAATAATAGGGGACCCAGGATCGAGCCTTGAGGAACTCCTGATAAAATATCAATGTTTGATGAGAATTTTTTATCAACACACACCTTTTGTGATCTTCCAAGTAGGTAAGACCAAATAAGGAATAAAGAATTATTATCAAAACCCAAATATTTCAACTTGGCACATATTAACTCATGGTTAATTGTATCAAACGCTTTAGAGAAATCTAATAATACTAAAGCTTATAACGTAAAAAAAAACAAACAAAATTTTGAAAATTTATTTAGGTTATTTTGTTTATTATAGTTTGAATATTCGGTAAAAAATTTAAAATTATAGCATTTTAAATTTTAAGGTATATTATTTAATTCATGAAAATTAGAATTTTCGGATTCATAACAATTAAAGGATTAAAGATACGATGATAGACGTAAAGACTTTTTTTATTCGAAATATCCTAAAGAATATAAAAAAAATTAATTAATTGCAAAAAATGCATCTTTTCTGGCTTAATTAATTTTTCGTTGTTTAAACAATAACATCAACAGATATCGAGTGTCATCTTACACTTTTATAATCAGGAAAGCCTTCCGGACATTAAAAAAAAAAATTACGAATTAAAACAATTTTGCACACGAATGCGCCAGTATGCTCTGGTCTAATATTATAAACGTAACTGCGGTTTGGAAAAAGTGTTTGTATTTGTATTATTGTGCTGTAGGGTTGATAAACAAAATGAACATATGTTTCTTGTCATCGGCGCCGTAACAAAACCTAGTTTGAAAAATACTAATACATTTCTAGGACTTATGCATCCAATAAATACATTAAGTTTTGAAAAATTGCAAGCTATGGATCCAGGTGACGTATTCGACATTACTGATTGAATTGATGATGATCAGGCTATTGATTCTGACTTGGGGGAGACTCAGATGCCGAGGATGATATCAAAATGAATACTTCTTTACCAAGCAGTAGCCGAGGAAAAAGATCGTATGCCAGTGAATTAGATTACGATAGCGATGACTCAATAGGGGACCCAGATTTTCACTCTACACCAAAGAAAGTAACCAGAGCACTATATTCCTCATCTGATGAAGAAGATGATAATGAGCCCCTCGCAAATCTTCTTCGTCCAAAACCACGTTTATCCAATAAACAAACAAAAAACAACGAGTTTGAATGGAGCCGAAAACCATATTTTCGAGGCAGTCAACTTTGAGGAACCCACTGGCTCAAAAGTGGTAGTAGAATATTCACCTATTGACATTTTTTTAATGCTTCTCGGAGAAGATTTTCTCGATTTAATTGTGTCCGAATCAAACCGAATCAAACTTTACAAAAAAGTACTTTTCTTGATTTGACCGTATAAGAGCTAAAGGCGTTTTTGGGTATTTTGATTATTATGGGTTTCCACTCCTTGCCAAGCTTACGTTTATATTGGTCATCAGATCAGAACTTTTATTGCTCAAGAATTTCCAATACAATGAGTTCAAAAAGATTTTTACAAATTTTGCGCTATCTACATTTTAGTAGCAATGAAGATATGCCTAAGAGGGGAGATGCTAATTTCGACAGAAAATAAGACCTATGATAAACCACTTATTAGACAGTTATATGAATTGCTATAATCCTGGTAGAAATTTAGCTGTTGACGAGAGCATGGTTGCTTCTAAGGGTAGAAGTCATCTCAAACAATACATGCCCCAAAAACCCATTAAAAGAGGGTTTAAAGTGTGGGCTTTTGCTTGTAGTCAAACCAGCTACCTTTTAAACTATTCGATCTACGAAGGAAAAAAAGACAGTCAGGAGGAGGGACTTCTTGGTGAAAAAATAGTTTTGGAGCTTACACGGCCATTTCAGAACAAAAATTATTGTGTTTATTTCGATATTTTTTTCACTAGCTTCTCACTTCTCTCAAAACTTCTAGATCGGAATATTTTTGGATGTGGAAGAGTGAGGAGTAATAGGTAAAACTTTCCAGCTGATTTGATGACTTGCTGATTGCTGACAAACACTTGAAAGCAGCAGAATCAGATTCTGTAAGTACTACCTCTGTTATAGTGAGCAAGTGGAAGGACAGAGGCAAGACATGTGAGCCTACCTTTGGGACCATGGTACTCCTTTGTTTAAAACTTTTTTGTTCTCTATTTTGTCTCTTTTAACCATGAGTACGCTTGTTGAGTGATTTAGTAATTTTTAGGACTAAACATCAGATTCACCTTTAGGGACCGCGGGTTCAGTTGTGCCATCTTGGGTTCTCTGAAAGAATGTTCTGCAGAGCCCGGGCTGGCACATCAGAATCACGCGAGTGACATTTTTGTTTTGTCTTGACATCAAAATAATAATATCATTTATATTAAACATTTATTTAAATTTAACTAACAATAAATTAAATCTTTAAATTCAATAACAAATTTTGATCTCCGTTAACCTCCAATCACTCGGAGAAACATGTTCCACACTGAGGTGAACGCACCTCCTTCTGTTGACATTTGACAAGTCAAAGTCTTCAAGTGTCGCTTGTCACCACTGTCATGTGGAAACGGTTAAACAACTTGAACCAAAATGAAGAGAGAAATTTAAATTTGAAAATATTAATATTAATAAAATTATGATTTAGCAAGTTGTAAATATCCCGAAATATATAATTTTGGGAGTGAGGATAACCAGAAACTTGTTGGATACGTTGTGGACAGTAGGTAGACTTTTTCATAATTATAATGTATATAAAATATATAAAAAAACCTTCAGTTTTTTCTTTTACTTTGGCCTTCTGCGTTTTACTTTCTTCATATCAAATATTGTATTCTAGATTCAAATTTCAATATATCTTCCACAGTCACCCTCTAATTGTAAATTTCTTTAAATTTTAACTAATTTGTTAACCTTTTTTCAATTTTGTGAATAGTGAGGGTGGCATGATTCCTTAATTCCACACAAGCTAACTTGCTTCTGGAGATCAGATTTGATTTGTAAGGACTTATCTCACACTCACTATTCCCAATACTAGTTTTTTGTCACTTTGTTTGTTTCTTGTAATTTTTAATTTGTTCAAACAATTGTATATATACTATTTTAACTTTTGACTTAAAAGTCTAATTCAGATTTTATAATATATTTTTTAAAATCTTTTTAAATTGTAAGTTTACATCCACAATTTTTGTAGATGAGCACTGATGATGGCAAATAAGCCGAAAGCGCTTTGCATTGATTAATAAAAAAGTTTTGCACGAAATACAAGTTTTTCCTTTTGAACTTATTCTAACTGTTCGTTTACTAAAATTTACGTTCTTGGCATGTTTAAGGTTATTTCTAATCTCTACAGCAGTTGTGTGACGATTTCTTAGTGCTGAAGATATCATAAATTGGTCATCTCGAGGACCGGTTCCAGGACGTCTCTATAAAACGTGTAAATACACGTTGCACGGTACTGCGTGATACACCGAATATGTAAGCCACGTAAATTTGACTTCTTTCGTCTTGAATAAGATGCAACAGTTTCTGGGCATAAAGACATCTTAAAATTCGCACTAATTGACATAACCAAGTACTAAACCATAGAACATAAACACTTAACTTAACCTTTAATGTCATCGTGAAAAACACTGAAAATGCATAGCCTACTTGGAACACTGAAGTAAGGGCAATATGATAAATTTTGCATTATTGAGATTATCGTACAATATCTGGAATATATTCAATTTGGGAAGGCATTTCATGTTTAAAAATCTTCATGGTATTCTGGTAAACCGTCTCTGTTGGCCAAATGATTAAAAACGAATTATAAAAAAAAACTTAAAAAAATTAATGCATTTTTATAAAAAATGGTCGAAGTGTCCGTTTTTCGTACCGGTGAGTGTATATATAAAAGTATTTGTAAGTTCAAATATCTCTAGTAATTTGACCTATAAGGGTTAAAGCAAAACTCTTGCAAAATATTCGAATAAAAATTGTATACAATTACATAGTAAATTATGCCATGTTGGATATGTACCATTTTCTTTTTGTATGCTGCAAGTGCTCCATTTCGCATTTCACATTCGATTTTTATTATTAGTTGCAACACCTTCAATATTGTTACTTTATATCACAAATTTTTCATGAGACTTCTTTTTAACACTGAAATATTTTATATGATAGGTATTCCAAACTCCAATCTCCAATCCAATCTTTTACATTACATCTAATTCATACAAACGATTTAAATCCGTTTATTGTTTCCACTCTAAGAATTAAACGTTACAATTGTATCCATGTCCGAATTCTTTAAAAAAATTCTTAGAACTTCTAGTTTTTCCGAACGGAGGTGATACACCTGATTCAATTCAGAATCCGTAACTTCTGGTCTGGTGCATAAAATGGTCGGAAATGGGGGTAACAACCCTCGAATCGGGCACGGGGCTCCGGAATCTTGGCCTTTTTCCTAATGGCGGATACTAAAACACAGGAAAGGGTCGAAATCTCGTTTGGAAAAGGGTTTTTTGAAGCTTGGAACTACTTTCCACAATGCGGGTCTTTCAATGAAAAGTTTAAGGAAGTTTGTATAGCATGTTTTCATCAAAATATATTATTTAATAGCGCATAAAATTGGGATTTATTCCTAAATTAAACTGAATTTAAAATTGCTTTAAGGCCGCAGTATCACTGTATTTCTCATATAAGAAGCAAGGGTTCACCATTTCCGATTGCATTTAAATCCCGCTAAATGAATTAAAATAAATCTTCTACCAGCTTAAAGTATAAGGTTTGGAGAATGAAATCTCCTATTTTTTATTTGTCCTGTTTATACACTGAATTTAAAAAAAAATCATAAAAAGTGATTTTAAAACCAGAGGCTAACAAGTAGGAGATTTCATTCTACATATTTTTCCAAGTATCCCGCCAAAATATTTCTAAATTTTATTGCGTATTTTTCAAATCTAACTGGAAATACGATTAACAAATATTTGATAAATTTCTTTGTCAAATTAGAGATTTTCTATGAATTCCTGTAATTGTGTACAGTTCATGTAGTTCATCTATTTTTAAGAAGATGTCACCGTAAAAAACAGTATAGCTATTCTACTTTAGAGATGGTTTTAATAGGTAAATGATTGTTTAGAGGTACCAATTTTTGAAACAGTGATACAGGTGTATGCCGTCTTTTATTGTTTCGTGCTTTTCATATATATTTGTCTCGTTTGGTTCCAAATTATCGATTGATTTTGCCTGTGTATGAACAAGTGTTGACCACGTTGCCAGATTATCGATTTATACGATAATTTCACAATTCTTTCTAGGACGAATTTGATTTTAAAGTGGGTGAAATATACAATAGTGAAATGCAGGAAAGGGAAGGAACTTTATTGCATTCCGATGTAAATTAAATCCGAATGACCTGGCATCATTGTATGATACGCACGTAATATTGGCGGTCTTTGCTTTTTTCTCCTGAATGTTATTTTATCTTTATAAGGAATCTTATTTCTGAGTTAACACGTTGACTGCTATGTGTATGTACCCATGTGTATGTCCTATTAGTGCGTAATTGTTCAATATTTTAATTTATGTTAAAGACACGCAAACATGTTTAAAAAAAAAGTTATATGGATTTAAAAAATACATATTTTAAAAATATTTTTAGATATATACAGGGTGCTACATTTTTGCTTGGTATATTTTTAAAATAGAACATGTATTTTATTTCAATTTTAGAATGGTTCGGTAATACTGTATTCAACCTTAGAATAATTTAAAAAAATATTACAGGTCTGCCAAGCAATTAAATTTTTATAAAATTAGAAAATAATGCAGACCCTAAATTAAATTATCATAATTCAAAATTGTTTAATATACTGACTTATAGCACATTAAGATAACGAATAGTAGTGATAGTGCTGGATTCTTTTATAGCGAGTGTTTTGAAACATGTCTTAAAATGGTTACTTTTAAGTCAAATTACTCAATTTTTCAAAGGCAGCATTTGATATAATATTTTAGCATACAATTCCTTATAAATTTGCATATCCAACGATACCAACATGTTAGAGAATAACATATATACAGAGTGTCTCATCAGTGCGTAATTGATCGATAGCTGTTTTATTATTAGAAATAAGAAAAAAAAATAATATAAAAGTTATATGACCATATTAAAAATTATTCCTATATATACAGGGTGGTCCATAAACGAGATGTTGACCAAACCTATACATTTTTAAATCAAAACACCCTGCAGGT